CCTAAGCCCAAAACCCTAAAGCCCCAAACTCTAAACCCTAAAGCTTAGACCGGCAGGCCCAAAGAGTCGGGATACTTGCAAGGTCGCTTGGGTGCCTTAGGAACCCTCAATCCCTCAAGCCTAAAGTCGGTTGAGGGTTTAGGGTCTAGAATTTAGGAATTAGGGTTTAGAATTTAGGGTTTAGGGTTTAGAATTTAGGGGTTAGGGCTTAGCCCAAACCCCTGAACCATTATGCCCTAAGCCCTCGAAAGCCCCTAAAGTCTACACCCTAAAGCCCTAGAGTCCTACACCCTGAAGCCCTAGAGCCATAAACCCTGAAGCCCCAGAGCCCTAAACCCCTATAGATTCCTTTACGGAGCCCTTTAAGGAACCCTTTAAGTAGCCCTTTAAGGAACCCTAAACCCTTAGTGCCCCAAGTACAGAGTGACGAGACACGGCCCAGGCTTTGATGTCCATAGGGCTGTAGGGTTCAAGTTTAGGGCTTTGGGCTAAGCCCTAAGTCTTAAACCCTAAACCCTAAATTCTAAATCCTAAGCCCTAAACCCTAAACCCTAAATTCTAAACCCTAAGCCCCAAACCGGTTTAGGGTTTTAGGGTTTCGGGAGCTTGCTTTAGGCTTTCGGGGCTGAAGGCTTTCGGGGACTGGAGGGTTTCGGAGACTGGCAGTCGAAAAGAGTCTGGGGACTTGTAGGGTTCAGGGTTTAGGGTGTAGGGGTTTAGGGCTTTAGGGTTTAGGGCTTAGGGTTTTAGGGTTTAGGGGTTTAGGGTCTTAGAATTTTGGGTTCAGGGGTAGTTTAGGGTTTAGGGTTCACCAAGAGGGTCCATATATAACTGCCATTCTGGAGTTAGGCTCCCCAAAGAACCATTCGAAGGATGGTCTTTGGGGTGTACATGGACCCCTGGGGCATGAGGAAAGGAGTTTACTTGGGCGGACTTTTAGTATACTGCCGAAATATATTGCACTAACTAAGGATATATACTATATTGCAGAAGACCTGCCATGTAACAAACACAAAGTGGCGTGAAACCCTAAGCCCTATAAACCCTAAAATCCTAATTCGGTCAGGGCTCAGGGTTCAGACCTAGGGGGCTTCAGGGTCGTTGGGTTTTGTAGGGGTTTTGTAGGGGTTTAGGGATTTAGGTGTTTAGGGGTTTAGGGTTTAGAGTTTAGGGTTTAGGGTTTGGGGTTTAGGGGTTTAGGGGTTTAGGTGTTTCGAGTTTAGGGGTGAGGGTTTACCCTGCAGGCGCAAACCTTAAACTTGCACCTTTCCCTTAGCATCACAAAATAACCCAAAGGCCTTAAAAAATAGGGTCCTTGGGCCCAAAAAGCATTAAAATATAAGTCCTTTGAGGGTAAGGGTCAANNCCCAAAACACTATTCTAATTATTATTATTATTATTATTATTATTATTATTGCCCTTACGTTAGATGTCCTTCAAGCGCTTTCCTGCAAAGTGTCTCTATGAGCAGCTCGGGGGTCCCCAAACTGGAGGGTCCTCCCGGAAGCCTAGATAGGGTTTAGGGTTTAGGGTTTAGGGTTTAGGGTTTAGGAGATGGGTAGTTCTCTAAATTAGGGTCCCTTTTTAGGTCCCCCAAATAGTACGGCACCCTTATAAAAAGGACCCTAGAAGGGGCCCCAATTTAGAGAACTACCCGGATTCTACCAGAAGACACTCCTAAGCTTCCTTGGCATCGGCTTCTCCTTGGGAGCTGCAAGTCTCCTGAACAGAGATGCCCCAGGTTTCGGGTTTAGGGTTAGGGTCTCTTCGGCCTCTGCGTGGGCTTTGAGTTGGTTTAGGGTTTAGGGTTGGCTTGGGGTTTATAGGGTTTAGAGGTTAGGGTTTAGAGTTAGTTAAGGGTTTGGGGTTTAGAGTTGGTTTAGGGTTTCGGGTTAGTTTAGGGTTTAGGGGGACCCCCCACCCCCACATGCACCGGGACGGAATTTCCAAGAGCCACCGTTCGAAAGGGCCCCCCTTTTCAGGGCACCAGTATGGTTTAGGGTTTAGTGTTTAGGGTGTAGGGGTCTGTACTTAGCTCTTTGTTGGGCTTCCAGGGTTATCACGGCAAAAAGTGTTTTCAGGATCAAAGGGAATCACAAAGCAGCATAGCATGTAGTGAAACATATTCGAGATCCACGGCGCTACACTTGGTGAACTTTGAAGAACCCCAGAATCTGAAACACTAAACCCTTGTTTGCTTCGGTGAGCAGTACCTTGTCTCTAAGGGATGAAGACATGATAGCAAGGATGAAAGTAACAATAACAACAACAGTAATAGCCACATGAAACACTAGAGCTTTATCCATAGCCGCAGTCATGGGCATGTTCATAACCGTAACCATCATGATAGTAGTATATGCGGTATAGTATATGTCTACCCCTAGCATGTCGATGTCGTGGGGCCGGATTACCCTAAACCTAACTCCTAAAATCCTAAACCCCCAACCCCAAACCCTAAACCCTAAAGCCCTAAAGCCCTGAACCCCTAAATCCCAAACCCTACACCCTAAAGCCCTAAACCCCCAAACCCTAAACCCTAAGCCAAGGCCCATGCTTGATGGACTGGGTCTTAAGTCGAGTGCAGGGTTTCGAGGGCCTTGGGGGTCGTTAGGGCCTAGGTGGTTTTGGGCTTAGAGCTTCAGGGTGTTGGGGTTTTGGGGTTGAGGGCTTTAGGGCTTCAGGGTTTTAGGGTTTAGGGCTTTGGGGCTTTAGGGCCCCTAAACCCGAAACCTTGAAACCCTAAACCCTAAAAGACTTGGGGTTGGGCTTCGGGCCTGGGGTTTTGAAAGTGTAGGGATTTCTGGTTGAAGGTTTGGGTGCTGAAGTCATTAATCTATAGGGCAGTTCTCTAAATTAGGGCCCCTTTTAGGGTTCCTTCAATGGAATCTATAGGTTTTCTATACGGTTTCTGCAAGGGCACTATGAGGCTTCAGTTTGGGTAGTTCTCTACATTCGGGTCCCTTTTAGGGTAATATGGGTGCCCTGTGCCCTACTATATTGGTGACGCAAACAGGAACCCTAATCCAGAGAACTACCCATATGTTCGGTCCATGAACTGAATTCGTCAGCACAGTGCGGGGTACCGTAAGATGACAGCAACCTCGAAAGCTCATCGTAGTGGACATGTAGGCTCCCATATAGGATAGTTGGGGAGGTGGGAGGTTGTAAGGCACTCAACGATGCATAAACCCTGAAAAGCTCCTATGAAAAAAGACCCTAAAGCCTAAGCCTGTAGCCCTAGTCCCATGCGACCCCGGTGCTGGTGCTGGCGACACTACAGCGGCCGCGGCCCAAGAACAGCTGCAGCATGCAGGGCCCTGCAAGCGGAAGTGTCGCCAGTCGTTGCATGCCCAGACCTGGGATTTGTCCTTTAAGGGCTCCTACAAGGGATCTATAATCGGGTTCTTTAAGGGCTCTATAACGGGGCTTCTTCAAGGGCCCTGAAAAAGGGTTTAGGGTTTGGGGAGTTTAGGGCTTCAGGCTTTCAGCTCATCTGGGAGTTCCACTTAGACTTCCAATAAGGCTCTAGGGCTTAGGGCTTAAGCACTGCAAGGATCTATACGCCGGAGTTTAAGATTTATATCTGTTCGGGGATGGACACACGATCCGCCGGTATCCAAATAGAGCGGACAATGTACTTCCTTTGTGCAAGCAGCAAGCGGACCCCACCATGATGCTGTGCACAATCATGATGAACACCGTAATTCCGAAGAAACTCCACTCATTCCGAGACGAAGCTATTTGAAATATCACCACCAAAGGAAAGGTGAGGCCCACATACATCGCAATCATCTTCGCCATCATCTTCAGAATGAAGCATCTCTCATCGTTGGCACTGCGCCAGAGACTGATGAGCAGGATAAGGCGAGCGCAAGTGGACAACAAGCAAGGAATCCAACGATAGCATTGCTGAAGACGGTATACAGGCACACTCGTCAGCACCAGTGACACGCTGTGAATAAGAAATGGCCCCAGGTCCAGACAGGGAAAGGCCATTTCGGTGTAGCCCGCACCAGAGATGTCCACCCCTGCACGGGCGACTGTTCGAAGTGTCGGCGTTGACATCCCAGCACCCAGCAGCACATGGATGGCGTAGTCTACCTTAGCTGCCCAGCTCATACCCCAGAAAATTGGAGCATTCAGATTTCAAAACCCTAAACCCTAAACCCTAAACCCAGTTTTGGAACCTTACAAAGACAACAAGGGCAACTGCCAAGCTTCATCGCCGGTCCTCTCGCCAATCTCCTGAAAAATCCGTGCAGAAACCCTAAACCCTAAACCCTAACCCTAAACCCTAAGCCAATCTCCTGAAAAATCCGCATGGTGTCGGCTGCTTCGGAGCACGTGGCATCTTCAATGCTGCCTTTTTTCACAGCTGAGAGTCACGGATTTTGGGGTTGTAGTACGGTTTAGAGTTTAGGGTTAGGGCTACCGGGCTACCGTTTGCCGTTTAGGCTTCAAGGTTTCGGGCAACGATCGAGGAAATCTCGACGCAACAATCCTCAAGTTAGCCAACATAGCAGAGTCCTGTACAGCGACCTGGTGGGCAAAGGGTGTATGGCAAACCCGAGTCTCGCTCTATGCTTGGCAATCACGGAAAACAAGGATGTCGCAAAGCCCTCGCCATGAGGACCTATTCCTATGTTGAATTTCGACTTGCCTGTCTTCATCGATCAAGCTCCTACTCCAGAATTCAAAACATATAAACTGCTATGACTCCAAACAATGCGTAGAACTACCAATCTTTGTGCTGATGCCGACCGAAGCAGAAGAAGATAGCTTCTTCTGAAACGCTGCAAGTGCTCCTGGTGCTGATGCTGACTGTGATGCTGATCATGTTGGTGCTGGTGATGATGCTACGAAGAGCGACTGCTGTGCTGATGCTGACGACCAACAAGGGAGTATAAGGTTGAGGGTCAGGGAAACGGTTTAACCAGTAGTGACAGTGAGCAGTGACATGTTAGAGTTGACGATGACAAAACGACAAGGGTGTTGATGCCAGTTGTGGTACTGCTGCTCGGTGGTAGTGGTGTATAGTTGTGCTGACAGGTTGCTATCAAGCCTCAAACCCCGAACTGTAGAGGACCCCATGGTGCCTTGATAGCCATGACTGAGCTGCTTGGCCTCGTCTATCTGGCTTTGTCCAATGATACGGTCGACCTGAAACATTTGAAACACTTAAAAGTCGTCCCTATATAGATAGTTTGGGGCCAACGGATATACTATATGAGTACATGGACCCTGAAACCCTACTAAACCCAATAGAACCCTTGCAGACCCCTCTAAAGGAACCCTTAAAGGAACCTATATGAGCCCGAAACCCCCCTAAACCTGAGTATGACTGGGCTCCGACAGTCACGTGCAACAAAGCTTCAAGCCTTTAGGCTTTCGTGGGCTTTAAGAGGTTGAGGCGGCTCTAGGGGTTTGGGGTTTTAGGGATTTTTGGGTGTGGGGGGGTTTAGGGGCTTTAGGGTGTAGGGGTTTTAGGGTTTAGGGATTTACGAGTTTAGGGCTTGATTCGGATGGTTTGGGGGTCTCGGATGCTTGAGGGTTTGTATAAGGGTTCATAGGGTTTGGATCTTTTTCGAAATGCTCGGCGCCTCGAGTAAATTGAAGAACAAGATGCCGGAGACAAGGAGAAGATGCTGCGCTGCGTCGGGAATCAGAGCCAGATGGCGGGTCAGGCCATGCAAGGGAACGATCACCTTCCAGCGGTAGAGAAGGGTGCCGCACATAAATGCACCTGTCCTTGGTGGCGAAGACTCATCCACGAAACACCCGAAGGCTTGGGGAGGGTTTAGGCGACGGGTGGACGGAAAGCTGTGTGAGGATGGAAAGGAAGGGGGGGCGAAAGCAGACATGACAAACGTGGTAGCAAGGCTCGCCACGAGCTGTTGCTGATGATGATGATGATGATGACGACGGTGATGATGAGGGTGGCAATAGTCTGCTAGTGTTGTAGGGTTTGGGGTTTAGGGTACACCCTAAACCCTAAACCCTAAACCGTTGCAGGCTGTTGAGGACGGTGCTGCGGAAAAGGATTCAAGCACGAGCCTCTCCACCGCGTGGTAACTTTATTTGGGCTACAACAGTCATCGACGAATACTTTCTGCCACCCTAAACCCCCAAAACCCTCAACCATCTCTAAGGCACCCTAAACCCCACAACCCTAAACCCCTCAACCCTAACCCCCTAAACCCCTAAGACCTAAACCCCAAACCCCTAAAAACCTAAACCATCTCTAAGGCAAGCATCAAGTTCAAGATCCTTCGGCAGGCCTGATGTTCCATACAGACGCTGCCGAAGGCGGCAGCCGTCATCACACATAGGTACAACCTGGACTAGCACTCCCTAAAGGTCCATGTACCCAAATAGTGCATACCTTGGCCCCAAAGTACCTATATAGGGACGACTTTAAGGCCAACGTATATATTTTTTGGGTACATGGACTTTTAGGGACTCTTCATGGGAGTGAACTGGGACCTTCAGGGAACAAGGCATACGTTTGTTTTGGATCCTGGGTCAAACCTACTGTATATGAACGCAAAAACCTGGCAGCAGAATGCGCCCTAAAACCTCAAACCTAAACCGACGACTTCATGCAGAGCTCGGAAACCCCAAACTCGAAATTGAACACTAAGCCCAAAACTCCAAAACCCTAAAACCCCAAAATACCCCTAAAACCCCAAAATACCCTTAAAAGCCCAAAATACGCCAAAACACCAAAATACCCCAAAACCCAAAAATACCCTAAAACACCAAAATACTCTAAAACCCCTAAAACCCCTAAACCCTAAAAAGCCCTAAACCGACTTATGGCGCAGCGGGGAAGCCCATGGAGGTGCCAGGAGAAGATTCCCAGCAAGAAACCCAACAGTCCTGTCTCGAGACTCAGTTGCTGAGTTCATAAGCCTGGTTTAGGGGTTTAGGGGCTTTAGGGGTTTAGGGGTCAGGGTTTAGGGATTCATAAGCATAAAGAAGTGTACCTCTTCAGTTCTATAAGGGATCATATGATCCCAAAAGTTTAAAGTGTAGTATTCCCAGCAGGAAACCCAACAGTCCTGTCTCGAGAGCACAAGGGTTTAGGGTTTAGGGTTTAGGGGTTTCGGGGTTTAGGGGTTTAGGGTTTTAGGGCTTAGGGCTTAGGGTTTAGGGTGCATAATCGGAACCTACACATAGTTGCTGAGTTCATAAGCACAAGATAGTGTAGACTTTCAGTCTATAAGGGATCAAATTATCCCAAAAAGTTAAAAGTGTAGTAATTCAGCTACTAAGGAGAGCACACAATCCACGAAAATGTAAGTAACCGCTGCGCATAAGGGCTACTTGGCATCTGGAGGGACAGCATAATGCTTGAAAGCGATTATAGTTGCTATTGCTGTTATTGCCGGTGTTTCAACCATTAGTGCCGTTATTGGTATGATCATCGTGTGCTGTTGTTGATGCTGTTAATGTTGTTGTTGCTGCTGCTGTTGTTGCTGCTGCTGTTGCTGCTGTTGCTGCTGTTGTTGCCGTTGCTGCTGCTGCTGCTGCTGCTGCTGCTGCTTCTGCTGTTCGTATTGTTGTTGCTGTTGTTGTTGTTGTTGGTGGTGGTGGTGCTACGGCTGCTGCCGTTTCTGTTGCCGTTGCGGTTGCGGCTACTAGTAGTAGTAGTAGTAGTAGTAGTAGTCGTCGTCGTCGTCGTCGTAGCAGTAGCAGTAGCAGTAGTAGTAGTAGTAGTAGTAGTAGTAGTTGTGGTAGTAGATGATATTAATGAAAAAGGCTGTGATTGCTGTATAGAGCATCTACATACACATATGTACACGCATGAATACAATATGTATGTATGTATGTATGTATGTATGCATACATACATACATGACACGCGCAGAGATTATGCGCGGACTATGTGCAAGCTCAGTGCTCTTGAGCCATGTGCAGGCCACTAGTTTTTGCTCAACGAAACCCATACATGGTTTCTTTACATCGGGGGTAAATTGCTAACGCCCCCCCAAATTCTACACACATACCTCTCCTGCCAGGGTCGTCCACAGAACGACAACCATCTTCTTCTTGCCCGTTGGTGCACGGGCGACGAAGATTGTCTTGCCTCTGGGCTCCAGCTAGACAGCCGAAACAAGGGCTTCAGACCCAAACCCGAAGCCGCACACTGATCTGCAGCAAGGCAGCCCGCTAAGATGTAGCTTCACACCATCTTTTTGCCAAAACTATTTCATGAGTGTGTGGGTCATCCTGTAAATTAAGGTGCCTGATTCGGATCCCACAAAAAAAAACGACGCCACTCTGAGAGAACTACCCTTGCGCAGTGTTCGGACTTTGCGGTCGCGCCTTCCTCGTGAGCGCGAAAGGCTTCGTACCCACACCAAAGCCTCGCTCATATGGGACTTTCCGAAAATTAAGGGTGCCCGTATTTGGGGGTCCTTATAATAAGGATCCTACTATTTAGGGTACTATATTAGGGTCCCCTATTTTCGGAAAGTCCCATATGTCACCCTAAGCGTCCATGTACCCACATCACAGAGTAGATACTTTGACCTTAAAAGCAGTCCCTATATAGGTACTATGGGGCCAATGTATATACGATATGAGTGCACAGACCCTTAGCGTCATGAAGAGCTTCAACCCCAAGCCCGAGACTCTCAACGAACTACGATACTATACTCATCGAGCGCTACTTGCCCAGACAATAATGTTTTTGGTGTGGGGTCTATGAGGACATGCATGTAGTATAGACTGGACTTTAAGATGCCTGGCTTCGGGAAGTTGTTGGGAATGTAGAGGAGTGGACAACTAATTACCAATATTGTACATATTCCTTAGGGTTCCTTATTGTATTTATTTTTTTAACAAGGATGCAAAACCCTATTCTAATTAGGAATTATTAAGGCTCCTAATTCCTACATTAAGAGATTGTTGCCCAAAAGCGATACAAACCCATGATACAGGAGTCTGGGATTTGGGGGATTCCAATTCCTGAACCCAGTCCCGTGATCGAGCCTGGTGTAGATGCTGCAGTGGTGATTCGGCACAACAAGAACATATGTCGAGGCTTTGAGTGCCAGTGCAAACGGTGAGCTGATTGGAGACTGCAGCAGGGAACCGATGTCCAAATTCTGAGGATTGGCCAGCATGCAGCACCAGGCATGTCGTGCATCTGCAGGCCAAGAATGCAAGACCTTCGAGAGGAACTCGAACACACCCTCCTGCCAGGCATGGCTGATGAAAAGGTCACAATCCAAACCATCTGGGTGTTGCAGCAAAGCCCAGCTCACTTTGCCAAACCGCTCCGTCACTGGCATGATGTGCTGCTTGTTTACTGTGTAGATGCTTGGGCCATACCTCGTGTCAGAGGCCTGGAAATCGTCGCTTCCATCATCCGGTGGACGAATTTCCCCACTTTGGATCGCCTTCCGCACCTCTTGTCCAAGGTACTTTAGGTCCGAACGCGTGATGCACCAGCGGTCCGGAGGAACGGACTCGTGCAAAGCAGTGGCCTCGATGGTCGTGTACGTCCGCGATGAACGCTTCGGGGCGGTAAAAGAGGATCGCAAGTCCGACAATGAGAACATAGCCCTAAGGCTCCATGTGCCCACATTGAGGGTTCAACCGGAAGCCCTTGGCCACAGACCGGCTAGAGGCTGGGCAAAAGGGAATGCTCAAGATTCCTGATCTTTGTCTCGGCAGGAGAATGGGCTGTAGGATTTGCGAACCAGTGCAATATATCTGTCCTGGTGTTTGTTTGGGCTTTAGGATCTCGACTTCGGACTCCGCCGACCAGGGTTTAGTGTTCAGCGTTCATTGGCTGAAGGGAGGAGCTTCGCCTGAACACGACGCACACAGAATGCTCTTGTGCCAGAGCGCGACAGCACAGGGTGCCAAGCTTAGATGCACCACTTACACGAACCATAACAGCCGCTCCTACGGTTGATGATAATTATAAATCCTGCATTTCCTTACGGGCCCTAAACTAGGAGAATACTGGAATGTTCCTTATTATGGGTAATGCAGGATTTATACCATCAACCATATCACATGGAAACCATAATTACTCTGTCGTAGTTTATCTAAGAATTGCGAAGCCTTTGGAGGAGATCCTGAAACCCGAACACCGGAACCGTAAAGGGGGCTTAAGGGTTTAGGCTTAGGGGTTTAGGGGTTTAGGGGTTTAGGGGCTTAGGGTTTAGGGCTTAGGGTTAAGCTCTAAACCCGATCCAATGCTGAAATCTCAAGCTGTTTGGGTTTCGGCTTTCTGTACCGGGGCTTCTGAGTTTGGGGTCGACGTGGTTTCAGCGCTGAGGCCTTGAGAGTGGCAGATCCGTAGAGAAATAATCCCCATGTTGTTTATGGTTTAGGGTTAAGGGGGGGGTAGGAAACCCCTAGATAGGCACATCGATGCTGGTCAAGGGTTGCGTTTCGGCCGATTTCTGGAATGCAGCACCTATTTGCCCATTGGAATATCTACCGGCCAGAGTACTTACCCCCAGAGATCAGAACATACTCTCCACATCCTGGTTTGGGGTTATTAAAGGCAGCGCTGACTGCTGTGAGGCCTGTGGCTGGAGAGTTTACGGGTGTGCCGCTCTTGTGCTGTGAACCAGTCTGCGATGCATACAAACTCACACGTGCACCAACGGATAGGATAGGGAAGGACAGGACAGGACAAAACCAAAAGCCCATCGACTTGCTGGAAAGCGCTCTGGTTCCTGGTCGGCTGCTTTGCCCATGAGAAGTCGGCAAGTGTATCAAAACCGGGAGACTTAGGTGTTTAGCTTCCGAATAACACGGTATAAGGGGTTAAGCTAGGTTGAAGGAGGGTTGTGGGGGTTCTGTCTTCCTGCCCTTACGACAGTATCCATACGATAGGGTGTGCTGTCTCAACGTGGCAAGTCAGCTCAAACCGGGTAGCTACGACCCAAACCCTAAACCCTAAACCCTAAAACCCTAAACCCTAGGAGGGGGCGCATCCATCTTTTTGGCCTTCTGAGGCGACTCATCATGCAAACCTAAAGCCGTCACTCTAAGCCGAAATAAGCTACCACTTTAAGGACTGATATAAGGAGATCATAATCTTAGGGGCCGAGTACCTTAGCCCAAAAAGGTTAACCTTTTGAATATAATAGGTATATTTAAGCCCCCAAAAGGTTAAAGGTTACCTCCTCAGCCTCTAAGTAATGAGGGGCCTAAAAAAGGGAAGTTCTACAGGGTTCAGGTTCACTCTAAGCCCTAAACCCAACTAGTCCGATGAGTCGTCAGAACTGGACGAGTACATGTGACTCTCGTGCTCCGCGGAACACACAGGCGCCGCGCCTGCTGCACCTTATCCGAAAGGATCTGGAGACTTTTGTTCTAGCTACTTGGGATATTAATGAACACAAGGACCTGAAGAATTAGAATAGGGTTCTGGGGTATATGCGGTAAGAAACATCAGCGTATCGTTCTATAGAGACGATAGAAGAAGGATCTCAGGACTAACTGTTCGGACCTCTGGAACACATATGGTTGGGTTTGAGGATGCTGAGGGCTCGGGTTTGTCATCGCTGGAAGAGTATTAGTATGACTATTAGGCACTTAAGCCCTTAGGGTTTCAGGTGCGCATTATGCCTGGTTTCGGGTGTAGGGGAAGCTATTTCCCTGCGACCTGGGTGCTAGCGACACTGCAGTGGCCGCGGCCCAGGAACAACTGTAGCATGCAAGGCCCTGCCAGCGGAAGTCTCGCCAATCGTCGCATGCCCAGACCTGGGTTTTGTCCCTTAAGGGCTCCTACTTCGGATCTATAATAGGGTTCCTTTAAGGGCTCCTTTAACAGATCTATAACAGGGTTCCTTCAAGGCATGCCAAGACCTTCAGCATTGGACCGAGCAGGGGACTACGAGCATCACAGGGCTTAGCGCTACCTGAAGAAGCTAAGCTTTGACACTCCTGTATACGCCCTATCCAATACCCTGAACAAACCCGGGAAACCGCGCAACTTAGGATTACAAAATCGTAGAAACCCAAATTAGCCTTAACCCCGAAGCCACAGGAGGCGAGGGCTTACACCAAACCCTAAACCCTAAACCCTAGCCCTAAAACCTAAACCCATATTAACCCTAAACGCCAAACTCCTTAGCCCCAAACCACCAGAGGCGAGGGCTTAGAAGGTTTGGTATCTTAGTTGAAGCAGGTCTCGGGGGTGGATAGGGCCGGTCGTCTGAAGGATGTAGGGTTCAGAGAAGGGTTGGGGTTTAGGGTTTAGAGAAGTTTTGGGGTTTAGGGTTAAGGGGGATTTAGAGTTTTTGGGTTTAGGAAAGGTTTAGGGTTTAGGGTTTGAGGGGCTTTTAGGGGTTAAGGTTTAGAGAGGGTTTAGGGTTGAAGGTTACAGAAGAAGCCCAAAACTTGGAAACTCAATAGCCTCAATCCTTAAGAGAAGTGTCTAGGGAATCCCAACACTAATTGTCCTTAATCCGGCTTCCAACGTTTTGGGCCTTTAGCATAAGGGGTTAGGAGTCCAGGGTAACTAGGCATCTGCCCAAGGATGAACGAAACAGACAGGAACTGAGCTCTTGTTAAGGAACTTAGCTGAAACTACCATAATCGGCATGTATGGCAAAAATGGTCTCCTGATTACTTGGTACTGGAATTAAATGCTTTAATTAACAAAAGCCAGGGTAAGAACACTTGGTCGCTTGATGCTGGCAGAAGGCAAGCGAAGCCAACCATGATGATGTGCATAAGCATGATGGAGATCGCAATTATGTAGAACACGCCTTCCGTCTCGGCAGCAGTCAGCTGCATCAATGCAACAGTTGGCAAGACGAGCACTTGCAAAGTGGCAATCATCTTTGACATCATCTTCAGAATAAAACATCTCTCATCTTTCGCACTATGCCAGAGACAGAAGAGCAGCCAAAGACGCGCACAAACGCAAACCAGGCAAGGAATCCAACGGTGGTACCGACGAAGAAGTACATCTTTTACGAGAAGTACAAGGTCGTGAATAAGGAATGGCCCCAGATCCAGACAGGGAAAGGCGATTTCGGTGTAGCCCGCACCAGAGATGTCGACTCCTGCGCGGGCGACTATTCGAAGTGTCGGCGTTGACATCCCAGCAGCCAGTAGCACGTGGATGGCGTAGTCGACCTTAGGTGTCCAGTTCATAAGCCCAGCATAAACTCTCAGAAGCAAAGGGGGTGCTATCTATCTATCTATCTATCTATCTATCTATCTATATAAATATATATATATATACATATTGGTATACATTGACACCAGAATGGAAATAAAGCATGCAAACTCAACACTACTACGCCACATCGCTGGTCCTCTCACCAATCTCCTGCAAAATCCGTGCAGTGTCGGCTGCTTCGGAGCAGGTCGCATATTCGATGCTGCCTCTCCAGCTACCCTTAGGGCTTGCGGCATCTAGGGGCTAGGGGACCGAGATGTCTTAAGTCCCTATATATATAGATATATATATAATAAATAAATAAATATATATAGAGTAATTATGTAATTATGGTCTGGGTAAGTATCGGCTATAAAGGTATACTTAGGACGAGCTTAAGGTTTCCACCCGGGGCTCCCAGTTATATGGTCGATCAAACTATTATAGCCTAGTTTCATAACGACGCTCAAGTGCACCGATGCAGTAACGTCTTGCACAGCATCCTGCAACCACCGACGGATAGATAACAAAGAACAGCTAAATGCGGGTACGGGGTGGGGGGGGGGGNNTGTTAGGCGGGAAGTAGTAGATTGAAAGTAACACTGGCGAACATACCAAAAGTACCACGCCTGTCACGCGTAAATGGGCTTTAACTAAGTAGGATTGAGAAACATGCTAAATCACATCATCGCATGTCCTTTCATGTCATGATGCTTCATATCATGCCGCATCATGTCACACGGCGGGCTGCTTCAGTAGATGCTCAATCCTCTGAGAAACCCTGTTCGCCAGTGCCCCTTTCAATCTAGTACTTCCCGCGTAAGAGCCTCACCAAGCCGTAAGAGCGACTAGCGTGTCCAAGCAGTGGAGTTTTACGCGTTTCCGAACTGTAAACGCAAAGACAATGCCCTCAACAAATCCAAGACTTAGCCTGTTGTGTGTGGCAGGCGCGGTAGAATCCACGTAAACGTCTGCTTCGACAGGTCCAGTTATCCCGCCATCAGGTAGTTTTTCGATGATTACACAGTCACCACATGCGGTAGCCCGAACACCCCGATAAGACTGTGAGAGGATCCCGTGAGCTCTCTAAAAACATCCATCATTGCCCGGATGCCGACAAGCATTCTCTCAAAGGGCCTAGACAATCTTGATTGAAGCTTCGTAATGCTCCTGTTTATGCCAGGAAATTCGAATGACAGTTGTCCATAATTTGATCAATTTATTGTGTCAAGGGTAATGCCGATGTTGACGCAGTGCAAACGTCCTGCAGATGCTCATGCAGGTGCTGTTGCGACTGTGATTGTCGATCTTATTGAAAACCGTAAAGCCGGCAGAACGATTAGGATGATGAGAGGCAAACGGCGATAAAGACGCTGTCCAATGTGGCAGTGGTGAAGCTTACGGCTAAGATTCCCAGAATCGTGATGATGCTATGACCCCTCATGACACGGCCTTTGACAGGATGGCACCTGACAATGGTGGCGATGATAGCTCAATCAATGTAGCTGCTGAGGAAGCAGGACCTTTGGATGACAGTACCGACGGTGATGCCGCTGTAAGCCCATGATTCATGAACCCCTCTCTCTTTTAACAAAATCGAAATCTCGCACTTTAGGCTTTATAGGGCTTAGGGTGATTGATTCCCCTAAACCCTAAACTCCCTAAACTCCCTAAACCCTAAACAGTCTAAAAAAGAAGCGCCTTGAAATCCATGGCTGAGCTGCTTGGCCTGCTCTCTCTGGCTTTGTCCAATGACGCGGTCGACCTGAAACAGCTTTCCCTGTCCTTTGATTACATAATAATTAGTGTTTAAGGTTTGGGTTTTAGGGTTTTAGTGTTTAGGGTTTAGGGTGTAGGACCTGGTTTCCCTCTCTGAAGATTTAGCGACTTCAAGGTGGGCTGACTGACCCCACACTTCTGCTCAATCTGGCTCTTCATTCTCGACCTTCATCAGTGAGTGGTGAGCTAATTAGAGGCTGGCGGGACATGATGTCTGCGCCTCAAGCAGATCGAAGAACAAGACGCCGGAAGCAAGAAGAAGTCGCTGCCCCACGTCGGTAAGCATAGGCAGAAGGCCAGTGTCGGAAAAGGGAATGACTACCTTCCAGTGGTAGAGAAGGGCACCGCACATGAAGGCACCTATCCTTGGTGGCAGTCTCACGTTTTGCTGCCCGACCTTTGCGATTTCTTTCCGGGTGGCTAGATCAAACGCGATCTGCCGAGAGCGAAGTCTTTGCTTGGATGATGCGCTCAAAGGGTCTAGGGCATCAGAGGATGGAAGTTTGTGTGATAATGAAAGGAAAACGCTACTGTACTGCTGCTGCCGCCGCTGCTGCTGCTACTGCTGCTACTGCTGCTACTGCTGCTACTACTGCTACTACTACTACTACTACTACTACACTACTACTGCTACCACAAACGACAATCACAGCGACGTGGAACGGAATTGCCAGCCATTCACCTGGAGCTCAAACTCCTGTTTTGCACACAGACTCTGCCAATTCCTAAACCCTAAACCCTTATACCGAAACCCCCTAAACCCTAAATCCTAAGACCGAAACCCCTAAACCATCCTAAACCCTAAGCCCGAAACCCTAAACCCTAAACCCTTATAAAGGCAAGCGTCCAGTTGAGGATCCTGCGCCCGGTCTGGTTTTCAATGCAGACGCTGCTGACTGCTGCAACGGTCAGCATAAGCAGAAGCAGGTACAGCCTGGGTTTAGGGTTTAGGGCTTTTAGGGTTTTAGTGTTTTAGGGTTTAGGGTTTTGCAGGTACAGCCTGGGTTGTCGCTGTTCGCGTGTTTAACTGGCAGCTTGAACCCTTTCACGAACAAAGCGAAGCAGGGACAGCCGTTTGTGTGGCTCTAGATCAACAAAAGTATTCTGAAAGAACACGAACATGCTCGCGATGACACTGTTCAGCACAGGAACCCATGAAAGCGAAAACAGAAGATGCCCAGCAAGAAGCCCAGCAGTCCTTTCTCAGAAGTGTACATTCGCAAACAGCAAGCACTGTGCATACATGCTACCGATCATGGCTAAGGTTGGCACGTGCCTTGAAGCATGCCAGTCTAGAGTATGTGCTGTGGATGCATCACTGAACTTACGAGAGTGTTCATGCCCTGAACCCTAAACCCCAAACCTTTTGCAAGATCTAGCTGCCCAGAAAACCGTTGGGTTAATTGATTGCTCCCTACGATACTCTACGACTATACTGCATGTAAACCCTAAGCTCTAAAACCCTAAATCCTACTCTTAGCTAGGACATTTAGGGGTTTACATGGACCCTAAAGAACCTACCCTTTCAATTGTAAGGACTTTTTATTATAAGGAAATCCGAATTCGGAGCCCGAAAACGTCGGTTAGATAATGTAGGGGCCTTAATCATCAGACTAGGGTTTTGGGGCCAATTATATTATAACTATAATAAAGAACCCCCAAAACAGTATTGGTACCCTAAACCCTAAACCCTAAGCCCCTAAACCCTGAACCCTAAACCCGAACATAGGCCCCTATAGTAGAGTCAAGGTGAGACTGCTCAGCCACGCTGAGCCTCCAGGAAGCTGCTCGCTGTAGGGGCACTGATACTGTTGATGATACGGCTGGGGATAGCTGGTACTGTTGATGATATGGGTCATGCAGGATCTATACCACCAACCGTAGTTGAACTAGGATTCCGTTATTTCAGTGTTCTTATGTAAAGGGGCTCCTTCCAGGGGTTTAATTTCATGGGGCTTTGGGCTTTCATTGTAGTCTAGTTCTACCGGGAAGATAAGAAACACATTTTCGTCGACATTCTAGGCCTTTAAATGATGCACTCCTCTCGGTCCTGCAAGTGTAGTCCACAGAACGACGACCATCATCTTTTTGCCGGTTGGAGCATGAGCCACAAAGACGGTCTTGCCTCAAGCCGCAGCCAAACATCCGACAACTTGTGTCGATGTAGGGGCATTGTATTAATTACAACAGAGCTTTGTGCTAGATTATATTACTATGAACAGGAACCCTAAGGATAAACCTGATTAAACGATCAGGCTTCTGTTATGCTACGGTCCCAGGACCAGAATAGCGAGAGAGCGGCAAGGCAGCCGTAGGATTCATCTGAAAAGAAGGGTTTAGGTATTTTATCGTTTAGGAGTGGGGTTGCTAGCTGACACGTCCCTAGTGACCAGAACACCCTTGCACAATTTTCGGACTGCGTGGTCGGGCCTTCCTCGTGAGCGCGAAAGGCTTCGTACCCACACCAAAGCCTCTCTCATTTGCGCAAGCCGAAAGCTAACAAGAATCCGAAAACTAAGGCCTCATGCCGTCATATATGGTTGCCATGCTATTAACACTTTACCCCTAACTCCTAAACCCTAAACCTAACCCTAAACCCAAACTTAACCCCTAAACCTTAAAATGCACTGGCAAGCCAGCCCTTGATTAAGCCTAAGCAATAGTAGTATATGCGAGTTTGCAGTCGTCTATATAAGTCCTGTGGCTGCGCCTCGTGTAGATGCTGCAGCGGTGATTCGGCACCACAAGAACATATGTCGAGGCTTTGAGTGCCAGTGCAAACGGTGAGCTGCTTGGAGACTGCAGCAGGGAACCGATGTCCAAATTCTGAGGATTGGCCAGCATGCAGCACCAGGCATGTCGTGCATCGGCGGGCCACGAAAGCAGGACCTTCGCGAGGAACTCGAAAATACCCTCTTGCCAGGCATGGCTGATGAAGAGATCACAGTCCAAACCATCCCGATGTTGTAATAAAGCCCAGCTCACTTTGCCAAACATCTCCGTCACTGGCATGATGTGCTGCTTGTTTACCTAGTTTCCCCGGTGGGCCCTGAATAGATAAGGGTACCCTTTTTCCTAATCTTCGGTTTTAACAAGGAGACCCCCGAATAAAAAGGGCAAAGGGGTGCTACTGGGGAGCCTAGTTTCTGTGTAGATGCTCGGGCCATAGGTCAGGTCAGAAGCCAGAAAGTCGTCGCTTCCATCATCCGGTGGCCGGATGTCCCCACGCTGGATAGCACTTCGCACCTGGCAGTTGCAAGAGACTACAAGTCCCTACTGTTGATGATATCTTAAGGACCCTAAACTATGGGAATGATGGTATCTTCTTTCTTATGGGTCATGCAGGATTTATATCATCAACCATAGGGTAGCCTAACAGAGAACCCTCGACATTGGGATCCTTACGAACCGGCCCCCCAGCACAAGGTACTCCCATTTTCGGACACCCCCACCTCCTGGCCCAGGCACTTCAAGTCCGAGCGTGTGATGCACCAGCGGTCCGGGGGAACGGACTCGTGCAAGGCAGTGGCCTCGATGGTCGTGTACGTCCGTGATGAACGCACGGCCACAGTAGACGAGGACATATCCTAAAGCCTAAACCCTCATGGGGGGTTGGGTCTGCAGGGCTGAGAACTTAGAGTCTTGACCTACCCAGGCCACGACTGCTTGCGAGACTGCCGCCGGACAGCTGCGGCGCAAAAGCAAAGATCTAAATATTGCATTATCCTAAAGGTCACCCGTATAGCAGTAGATTTCATAGGTACGAGCAGGCCTAAGTCTATACCATATGAGTACATGCAGATTTGTCACACAAGAATGCGAAACACATGCTATATATATATATATATATTGGCCTTTGAAATAAGATAGATCTTCGGCCCAGTAAGGGACAGTTTAACACGTCCCCAAGGCCTACGTAGCCTGATACTGGCGTTCAAGCCCTGAGATACTCAATCCCTCGCTACAATTCTCACGCAATGCTTCTGCGCCGAAACACCGCGGTTCATGGGTCTCATGCTTAGGGGGATGCCCTGAAGCGAACCCCAGGGTTTAGGGTTAGGGTTCAGGATTTGGGCNNNNCTTGGGGTTGAGGGTTTCGCAGAGCCACTGAACTAGGCCAGGACATGGATGGTTCTGGGCGCAGCACCCGTTTTGTTCAAATTGAAGAGTCTCTAAACCTGGCGGGTTCCAAAGCCAACAAAAATCTGAGAGGCCGGTTCGAGCTAAAACATCTTCGGGGTTCAGGTTAATCCCTATAGGCCCTAAGGCCCTAAAGGCAGGGGTCCTCGGATTGGGTTCCCTAGTCTGCAAGGTGAGGTGAGCAACCTCGTGGGCTTCAAGCTAAGGTGTACGGTGTCCGCTTACTTGGAGAACTCGGGAGGGAGGTGGGGGAGGGGGGGGGGGGGNNGGTAAGTAAAGAAGTACGAATAACAAGCAAAGAAACACGTAAATGGGCCCTGTGTATATGATAACAAAGGCCTGTATGTATGTATGTATGTATGTATGTATGTATGTATGTATACATATATACATGTGCATGTATGCAAACACACACACACACATGTACATTCACATATAACTGTATAAGTTCATGTGTTTATCTACTTATTTGTTTGTTGATCTATCCGTCTATTTATATATGTTTATGTACATGGACCCTTAGGCCTACAGGTTTTCGAGTTTGGGGCATTGGGGCCCTTAAGCCCGAGATGCACAGATTGTAAGCACCACATTTCTACTCTGGGCAAAGCCGTGCCAGCCCCGGTCTCACCACCGACCCGGACCTCTCAACCCTAAACCCTACCATGACGCCAGACAGCCTACCTTCTAGGGACCCATGTAAGGAAATCATGTTACGACACCAACAACACGTAGGCTTGTTAGGGTTCTGGTATTTTGCAGAGACAAAGAAGGGCAGACTGTAGGGGCAAGGCTGAGGAGTACGGCGGTTTAGGGTTTAGGGTGCCCATCTCCGAGCCCTTAGCTGCAATCCATCAGAGGCCGTACTGTACTGTCTAGGGTCTTGCTTGTGTTACCATGGACAGGAGAAAACCCTAAACCTAAACCCTAAGCATCATTTGGGTCACGGCAGCCTTGATACAGAAGAAAGAAGGCAACTTAAACCCCAAATACTAAACGCCCGTAAAGCCCAAACCCCAACCCTCAAAATCTTAAACCCCAAAAACCCCTGAACCCTTACATCCTTACCTGCCTCGGGTACAGGTTGCCTTTGGATGCCCTTCCCCGCGTCACCCCACGAGGCGGCCGACTTGGAGTCGGGATCCATGATGCCTGGGAAATCAAAACCAAAATAATGTGGGCCGCTTTCTAAATTGGGGTCCCTTTTAGGCTCCTTAGTAGAAGGGTGCCGTACTGCATAAAGGGAAATAGATTCAAAACCAGAATAATATAGCAACCTAAACCTTAAACCCTTTCAGGGTTCCTTACATGTATTTATCAGGCTTTCTATGGGGTTTCTGTAAGGGCACTATAAGGCTTCAGTTTGGGTGGTTTGTTAAATTAGGGTGCCTTTTAGGGTCCTGAATATAAGGGTGCCGTACTTTATTGGGGACCGCCCAAAAAAGGGATCCTATTTTAGAGAACTACCCATATCTGTGCCTGAATGGTTACCAACACAATTTCGGTGGCTCCTTGTTTTGATTATAGGATAAGCTCCCCACAATTTCATTCTACTTAGTAAGGCCCCGTGCATTAGAGCCAGGGTTTGAGAAATGAAAACAAAAAGGTTTTAACACTTTGGTTTAAGCTTGTGTTGCCCAGGGTTCAGAAACACACCAAAGCAGGGGGTTTTAGAGTCAGATGACTTGGGTTTTACAAGCTGAAAAGGGCTTCAGTGTTCAACATGGGTAGAGTTTAAGTACAACTTACGGGTTCAAGGGTTTCGGGGGTGCACGATGCCTCTGAATTGCAGTTGAAGACTGGCTAAACCCTAAACCCTAAACTAAACCCAAATCCCTAAACCGTTTAGGATAGAGGGGTTCCTGGCTTCCTGGGCCCGGAACCCTAAACCGTAAACCTCAAGCCCCCAAGAAACAGAGGCTCGTACCCATAGGCCCCTAAGTAGTTCTTCTTTGGGATTACCTTTTGGGATTCTAAATACAAACCGGAAAAAGGAACTACTTAGGGGCCTATGGGTAGCTGAAAGCCGAGAAGCCCTGGTCATTGAGCAGCTCCATGATATCTTCGAAGTCCCATTGGCTCACATCCTCACCTCAGGGTTTCGGGTTGGAGCTTTAGGGTTTAGGGTGTAGGGCCCCATGATCCTGTAACAGTGGCCGTCTTAAGGCAAAATAGAGAGGGGGCATGTGGGAGGTCTTGGCCGGGTTAAGGGTTCAGGGTTTAGGCTTCACCAAAGAAGAGTCCCTTAAGTAGCTTAAAGCCCAACAGGGTTGGAAGAGGGTTTGGGGGTCCAGTTTACTCTGCTCTTTGGGTCTGCAAGGGACTACTACTACCAACCCTTCCGACCCCTGAATTCAAGGCCCGGACCGCCCAAACCCGGAACCCTGCCAACAAACCTCGATTTTGTGGGCTGCAGGTGGGGATTCAGGTCGAGAGTTTAGGGTCGGAGGGTTCGGGTTTAGGGGTTTAGGGTTTAGGTTGGGGGGTGCAAAAACTTCGGGCCTACTGTGTCGAGCTAGGATTTTTGGGGCTTAAGGCTAGGTGGAGCCTCAAGTATCACCAATGGCCGCGCCGACTAGAGATCCCACAGCCTAAACCCTTTACCTGAAACCCTAAATCCTAAACCCTGAACCCTGAACCCTAAATCATAAACTCTAAACCCTGACCCTGCCTGCCACGGACTTCAAGACCATGCCGATCCTTGGAAACCCGTGCAAAAGCCCGAGGATTTCGGCTTTACTTAGGGTTTAGGGCTTTGGGGTGTGGCCGCTCTGGAGATGCTTGACACTTGAACCAGCAATTCCTGTTCCTGCTTAAGATCAATTCCTGCTTTATTAACATAGATATAGGTATACATATGTATATATATATATATCTCTGATCCTGTTGAGGAGTTTAAGATTAATAGATGGTCGTGAGAGACGAACATGAAGAATTAGTTGCCAGAGCGGCCCAGTTCAGCCTTTTGGGGGGTTGGCGGGACACTCAACAAAGAGGGCTCTTGCTAAGGGACTTTATTTAAGTTACAATAATAGGGCTCTAATATAAATAATATGGTTTCTGTATTCTGGTAACTTAAATTAAGCCCTCTAGCAAGAGCCCAATAAAGAGAGGCAGGATTTCGGCTACCGCCCCTTGTGGACAACCTGACGGCACGTTGCCTCAAACTCCATGTTACCCAGGCCTTCCAAAGTCATTTAGGGTTTTAGAGTTTAGGGCTTAGATTAAGGAATGCGCCCTACATCAGATGAGGGATCCTACTATACTTTCCACAACCCTCCAATATCCGGAAATTTAGACACATGCCCTGAATTATAGCACTGGGACAGAGCTCAGTCGCTCGAGGCTCAGGGTCCTTTAAAGGGTAGTTTAGGGTGCTTTTCTGGGGTCCCCTTTAAAGGGCTCCATCCCTAAACCCTAAGCCCCTATAAACCCTAAACTCCAAACCCTACGTTTTTTGATGATATAAATCCTGCATTACCCGCAACAAGAAGTACACCATATTTCCCATAGTTTGGGGTCCGTAAATTAGTGCAGGATTTCGATCATCAACAGTATTAAGGGTATTGTATGGGATTCGGTTTGCTTAGGGGCTTTGGGTCTTGTGGCGCAGTGACGGGGGCACAGGAAGGGAAGCGTGTTCAAGATTCCCTGTTGGCTTTAGGTTTTGCCTTTTAGGGTTTAGGGTTGAAGGAGGTCTACGCTTCTGGGTTGGGGTTTAGGGTTTAGGGTTTAGGGTTAGGGTTTAGGGTTTAGGGTTTCGGCTTAGGGCTCAGGGTTTAGGGCTTCGGGTTTAGGGTTTAGGTTTCAAGTTTGGGATGGCTTGCTTAATGAGGGGAGCGAACTGCAAGTGTGCTGTTGCTTCAGACGCACGACGACTTTGGTAATGTAGATGCCAACATAAGTTCCAGCATCGTTCCTTCGGGTTCGCTGCTATTTATAGTTATGCTATAGAGGAGCGCAAAACCCTATTCTAGTGATTAATTAAGGCCCTTACACTATCCTGTCCTTCTTCTATGTCCCGCCGATGACCTGCGATAGTGGCAATGATGGGAGTGGTGCCATGCAGGAGACGTCTCCCAGTCCTCATCATATCATTTCGTGGTTGATGCCATGGAAGGGCCGCGAATCGCGCTGAGTGCTGCTTCTGCATTCCTGGCATGGTCCGTGCGACTGAGCACTCCCGCAGTGGTCGTAAGCATGAACAGTTGTTTTCCTCATAGCCGCTCCTGTTTCATGTCTTGGGGATAGCTATCTTGGCTAATGTATGCCAGGCATGGCGGCCAAACCCACCCTCCTTGAATCCAGTAGCGCAGTGATCAAGCCTAAACCCTAAGCACTCCTTACCCGGGAAGTGGAATGATCACAACTTGATGATCGAAAGCCGAATTATGAAACTAGGGGCCTGGGGAATGCGAGGTTTGGGGTTTGGGGTCAATTAGGG